CTATACTTCAATAAATAACCCCCGGCCCCAAACGGAACATGTCAAACCATCCACATGCCTTGTTTTCTCCATGAGCGCCTCGTCTTTTTCCCGATCGCGAAAAGAGTAACGATATGTGTATAACTGAGTATCGATTATGTGGTCGATAAACTGAGTCGTCGTTTCGAATACTTGTTCGTGAAAGTGTCGTATGTGCGTAATAGCGGTAAAGGTTTGTTGCGTTGTATATTGACCTTTCGATAACGTCGTAGGAGGAGGAGAGGTTGTTGTGAGTGCAATGGAAAGGAGTGTCGGAGAGGAGTGTCTGGGTATATATATATGTATGAATAGACGCGTGTTTGCGTGCTAATGATAAAGATGTACTACTTGATATTGTTGTCGTGCGCGGCCTTATAAGTATAAATGTTGTTATTTACGCAGTAAGGGGTGTGAGAGTCAGCCCACAACAATCACTGTCAACCAATAGTAAACATAAGCGGGTATCGATATATTGCCTAGTGTAACACATCATTACATCATATCGCGTGTGCTCCCGAATGTTACATTGATACTATTGTTCTTATTTACGGAAACAATCGTGACAGTCGTAGTAAAAAAAATTTTCACTGGTTAACAAGTCCGATAAGTCACGCGTATAAATGATAACGTGTGTGTTCGCGTGTTAGATGGGAAGGTGACATATGTTGGTACTACTTGATATTATCAATACAATAAGGAGCGTGAGAGTCTGCAACTGCATGTTATTGATGTGACTTGTCGGACTTGTTAACCAAAATTTTTTTACCGCAACTGTCACGATTATTCCGTAAATAAGAACAACAGTATCAGTGTAACATTCGGGAGCACACGCGATATGTGTTACACTAGGCAATATATCGATACCCGCTTATGTTTACCATTGATTGATAGTGATCGTTGTGGCTGACTCTCACACCCCTTACTGCGTAAATCACGGCAACAATAATATCAGTGTAACATTCGGGAGCAACGCAGTAAAATATTTTTCACTGGTTAATAAGTCCGATAAGTCACGCGTATAATTTTAATTCTACGATAATGTCGTGTCGACGGTTACAGAAGAGCGGATAATTATCGATACTTGGAAGGTGTGGCTACTCCTACTCGTTAAGTTAAATATAACGACAGTTAGTGAGTAACCTTTTAATCAGGCTTTACCATTCACGGCTCTCTAATAGTCGATCGATAGACGCCAATCCTGATAAATACGTCGTTCCTCGAGTATATTCGCTATTATCCGCCGATGGGATTAGTTTCGATGGTCTATAGTTCTGAGATGTTCGTATAATTCTCAACGCATTGCTAACTGAACAAATATTTATCGTAATTACCACGAGAGTATTTGCGGGACAAGAGGCAAATACTCCTGAACGATATAGGTATTAACGGTTTCTCAGATACGTACGTATATCGCAATTTGCTTGTTTATTATTAGAAAGAGATATTAATTGAACATTACATCGAACATTTAAGAAACAGCGAACGTGATGCCAGTTTCGCCTAGATCTAGCTACACATATAGCATACTAAGTGCCAATTTAACCCAAATAATCTAAAAGGAATTGTACACTGCTATTAATGTTGTCAGATTACACCAAATTCCAAAATTGTCATTTACTTAGTGTGTAATGTTTGTGATCCCGTCGGAATTACACAGAAATTAGGGAGGAATAGACGTCATTATTAGTCTTCAAAATAGTGATGATATCAATTAGCAAAAGAGCCATGCAATATAATATCAGTGCGACCTATGTAGTATAACAATATAAGAAACTTACACTCCTACTCCCCACACTACAACCCACCACCCACCAATGCACATTAGTCGCGTTTGAATTGTGTTATTTTTTATCAATAATTTTGTACACATTGTATACAACTAAACTTAAAGTCTTGCAGTTCAAGAATTGCTTTCATTGCGATGATTCAGATAGTGCATAGCATATTGCGTTTGTTTGTAGACGTCCGGATGCCTACGGGCCATCTCATCTGTATAATCTACGGATATTACGCGCATATTGAAACAAAAAGTTATTGTGTATAGATAGTCTAAAAACTTGTAAACCGTGTTGTCATAAAAAATTCATGCTGTATTGTTTTTAGTAAATTAGTTATTGTTGTTTGAGAATACACGTATTTAAATAATTGCACATAAATTTGATTTTATCATGGCGGACGCAATACACGACGAGTTGTTAGATAACTTCTCCTCAGTAACTTTGCAAACTCAAAATGATGTAGACCTCAAATACATATTCAATTACGTCAATGATAAATTTGACTCAAACAATTATGCTGTTTATACGCACAACCTATATTTTGTAAACGATTGTATGTACATCTGCGACCGCCAAAACAATTTTACGGGATTGATCTCTATAAATTTATATTTAGGGCAAATTCTTTGATTACTCCGAAACAATGAGCCAGCGGATTATGACCAAATGGCAATTGACAGAGTAGAGCACTTTATAAAAATGGTATCGAAAAGAAATCAAAATTAGGAAGTGTCTGTCCGGATGTCATAAATCAGATTAATTGGTTTAAGAAACATCTTGAAGTAAATACGCAATGCAGCTTATTACGTTTATACTTGTTTAACCATTTATTTTATTCCTCTTAGTTGCATAAAAGTTGGATATATTATCCTTCACAAAAAGAGATTCAAGATTGTCTGAAATCACTTATGATTGCCGGAGTATTGATCCAAAGTTGTTAAGCGACACTATTAGCAACGCGTTAATCTCACTTTTGCGCGAAAATTGTTTCTCAAGAGTGTTATGAACTTTACAATAATAAGTTTTTAACTCCTTAGAAGCTTATCGCCCATATTTGTATTGCTCTTGAGATACGAGGTGCACAAGACATTTGTGCGTGGCCAGTATTGGAAAAACAACGAAATCTTATAAAAGCTTTTGCATAATTAATAATAGTTTATATATGTTCTGGCCCGAAGCCCGATCTGGGATCAGTTGATTGTTATTGGTCCATCTTGCGATACTGTATATCAAAAAATCTATCACCTGATTAACTCTGACACCCCCTCCCCCATTTTATATAATTAGGTCACACTTTATATTTAATATTTAGACATCACGATTGTTACAAATCATCGAAAGATGACAACGGGAGCTACAAGCAACACCTGCTCTTTTGCAAGCACACCCGTTATTAGAATTGTCTAAGGATAAATTCGGACTATCGAGTAGAGCGATAATGCTTAAAAGATATTGGTATGTGATTATGAAAAGTCAATCAAGACAATCTAAATCAAAAATGGCCTCAAGTTGTGTTACTTGAAAAATAAGTTACCAAACGGAAGTGGCGGAAGACGGGAAAGGAGGATGATCAGGGTACAATGCTCAGGATACAATGGTCAGGGTATTTGGTACGGCCTATCGGATAAATCGAATGACGATTTGACGTCATTTTATATATTATATCTTTTTCTTAAGCATGACTTCATATAAGCTAGACTTTCAGCAAATTTAGATAGATAAATTATATACGCAGGTGCAGCTAATAAAAGCCATGGCTAACTACCTCTGCAGTTAAACTGAAAACAGTTGTTGATATTGATAAGAGTTCCCCCACCGCCACTCAAGAACAGTATTACAGCTACGGTACCACCTATGCCAATCACTATATTCTTTATCGAACTGTTATTTGAACTGTTATCGTTAGCCGTACTAATAGGCGATGGCGTTGCTGTGACGGGAGTTGGTGATAACGACGGGCTTGCTGCCGTCGCTGTCATTGCCGGGGAAGTTACACAGTCGCTGGTAATGAAGAGAAGCAATTATTGCGTCTATTTTTCATAAAAAATTACAGCAAAGGAATAAATACCTTAGAGCCGTTGCTGTCGGCTTAGAACTCCTCGAGTGAGTGGAACGATTGTGGAAAGCATTCCTTAAATTTTTGAAGAATTGTATACGTAAATAGCATATATATGTTATTATTTTTACTGTTTGTCAATGCTTACCATGAAATAGAGGGAGAAGAATAATACACCGGCACTGTATATGTTCCAACTAAAAAAAGACTCATAGTAATAAAAACGAGGAGTTTGTTCATTGCGGCGCGAGTTGATATTTATGTTTAGTTTAGATGTTTCGAGTATTAGTTGTATTTATAAAATCTTCAGGCAGAAAGAATGGAGGGGGAGATTGTTGGGTGAGTTTGGAATATTTATGTAATAGTTTCGTATGGTTACACTTGTATCATATATTGCATAAACAACAGTAATAGTAAGTGTTTATGCAATATATATGATACAAGTGTAACAGTAAGTAAGCACGCGCAAACTTTCTATTTTTTTGCCGTATCTGATAGGTGCAACCCCTTTCTCAAAAAATCCTATGCCCTGAAAGTAAATTTATTCTGCAATTGGAAATTTAAATACGTCATGTTGAGGTTGTTGATCTGTGACTCATTGTGTCAAACGCATTTTATCTCGATTATTATTTTGTACATAAAATTTTATCTGCGCATAAGTAACAATGTAAATTATAAAAATAAAAATTTAGTGGTCAATCGTTAAGCCCCCTTTTCAATAACAGCCTCTAAACGCTTTTTCATTCCAGAACATAAATTCGATAGAATAGACTTATCGATATTATCCCATTACAATCGGATAATCAGTAAAAAATCATCTAATCCAATTGATTTTTTGTAAAATACGTTGATTTACCCTCTTTTCTTCATTGTCGCCCATAAGTTTTCTATAGGGTTTAAGTCGGATGAGTAAAAGGGCCAATCAAGAACCTTTGGGCATTTTTCTTTAAGAAGTTCCTTTGTTAACTTGCCGGTGTGCTTTGGGTCGTTATCTTGTTGGAAGATTTAAAGCATTAGAGAAAAGATTTTCTGTTGAAATTTTCCGATAAAGCTCCCCGTTCATGTTTTTAGTAAAACAATGAAATCCGACAGCTCCCTGTGAACATGAACCTTTGACAATTGCACGCCGTGGCTTTTCTTGGCCCACTTTATATTTTACTAAAGTGGTATTGTGAAATAATTGGAAAATTGTCTCATCAGAAAAGATAACTTTTTTTAAGATGAGACTTTATCCATTCAACGCGATAATTCTTTGCACTAGCCGTCAACATTGGTACTGAAACTGGTATACAAACGCGATAGCCGAGGTTATAAAGGTTCTCACGGACTGTCCTTGGTGTAATATTAAGGTTTGGGTAGTTTGGTTAAGCACAATTTCTTTACTGCTAGCACATTATCTTGAAATTTGCTAATTTTCCAAGATGTGTATGCGCTTTTCCGCAGTAAGTTTTTTTGGCCTCCCTGGCGGGATTTAGGTTTTAGGAAAGCTGCTACTGAAAGTTTTTTGTATAAAGTAGATACGGGAATATGTGTTATCTTATGAAGCCGAGATACATCATGAATTCCACTTTCCCATAAATTCTCTATAATTGATCGTCTTTGGGTCAAATAAGTTGCTTAGGCATTTTTAACAACAAGAATTATAAAAGTAAACAAAGAACGCGTTGTTAGTTCAAATATTAGTTTTATTTATACATCTGTTATCCGGTGTATAACTTTTCCATAATAAATAAAACAGGGAGCATGTAAATATTAGATAAAGTAATTACATAAAATTCTCATTATTTTCCGCCACACTGTACATAATTGAATGTTGCAGTATCGCCTTATAAGTATTTGATAAAAGAAGAAACGCTACTGCTTATGTGGTAAATTTGCTCTTCTCAAACACAAATATCTATTGACAATTTGTAAGATCGTATCCTACAGTCAATACAGTCGAGGACGAGTTTTTTCCTGTTACTACTCGTTCGACTCTCACATCAATAGTAAGATGTTCCTCGCAACGAAGGTAATTGATATCAATGTCATATAACAGAATTGGCATTATTATATGCAGTGAGACAGCTATCATTAAAACATCTGCTTGATATACAAAGCAATATTCACCGAATTGTTCCCATTAAAAACAACTCTATAATCAGCTGATAGTTTCTACATACAACAGTTGTGCATTTATGGTATATTGAGAAATAATTATTCAATAACACTCGCAGATTAACATCTAAGTTTCATATACATGAATATAACATTAAAAGTTAAAATTTCAATACTTGGTAAATCACATTCCAATATTTTACTATTAACACATAAGTATCAGAAACTTGATTCAAAGCTAATGCGAACGATGGTCATATTATATACAGTACATATATATATATTGTCCGCATGGCAATTGGATGTTCGACTAAAGTCTATGATTATTATTGGAAGAAAAATATAATTTTGCCACTACTCCGAAAGGTATTGGAATAAGAGATATCCCAAGCGGGATAATTTTCTTTCTTTCAATGCATCATGGCGAAACGCAAAATTTT